ATTACTTAGAGTATTTGAACTTTATTGAAGGACTTATGGAGGGAGACCAGACGAAGTTAGTGATGGAAGTCTTTGGTAACCACGCATGCCCTGAGCTCGCAGCTACACTTCTGGCGGCCGTACCTGAAGACACTACGGATTATGCTACAGAAAGCGACCGCATGAAGCGATTACTGTACAAGCTTAGAGGCGATGGACGACGCCATAGCAGCAAGCGAGATGACCGGAAAAAACGTCAAAGTGACCACCGCAACGAAAATTTAAACGGTGTACGCGGGCAAAAACGCAACAATAACCAAAAGGAAGAATTATCGTGGCGGAATCATAAAAGCAATGACGAAGACAGTGATAAACAGTCTCGCCAGCAGAACAATGGTCAAGCATTTGCTGCTGTTTCTGGAAATCGACACCAGATTCGATGTCACGTCTGTAACCAGCTCGGGCACAAGATTTTTACATGTCCAGTGGTGGAGCAAGCCAAGAAACTAGCATCCACAACCAGTAGTGCGCATGTTGCGACGGCGACTGACAATACTGCAGTCAGTACCGGTAGTGTGAATACAGCCACAGCTGAAGAAGGAGACAGCAGTTATTCTAGCGACTCTGACGATGAAGCTCACGTCTGGGTAGCGGCTAGCACTACCGACTCAGCCAATTTCTTTAAGTCGAATGTTTGGACCATTGATTCTGGAGCAACACACCACTTGTGCATGGATCGCGAGCAGCTTTTTGCAATTACACCAGCATTTCTCTCTGTTCGAGTCGCTAATGGCAATGTTGAGCTCGCTACCGAAAAGGGCAGCACTGTCGCCACGACAGCTACGCGTACTGGAGAAAAGCATACTGTCCTACTGAAAAATGTGTATTACGCGAAAGGTATCGATCGCAACCTCATGTCGGTCGCTCAGCTCACACAAAAGGGATACTCCTGCGAATTCGGGAAGGACCTGTGTACGGTAACGAGTGATACGGGCAAACAGATTGCTGAAGTGAAGAAATGTCCGCTAAACGGACTTTGGTCGGTCGGTATCGAGGAAGCTGCTGCCTTTTTTGCAGAAATGAAAACTTCTACTCTACGACAGTGGCATGAACGACTTGGTCACGTGAATTACCAGGACCTAATACGCATGATGGACAAGAAGCTTGTCGGTGGCATGGTGGCATCTAACAGGAAAGTGGATTTCTGTATGAACTGTGCCGAGGCGAAGCAAGCCCGCCGACCCAAGAACAAACACGACACGTCTGCTTCTGCTCCAACGAATGAACCGGGTGCGACCCTGTGTGTAGACCTAAAGACCGACATGACTCCAGACCGCCTCGGTCACAAACACATCCTGACTATCGTGGACCACGCCACAAATTTTAACCGCGTCTACTTGCTCAGTAAGAAGAGTAAAGCTGAAGAACACTTGGAGAACTTCATTAGTGAGTTCGAACGGCAGTATGATACGAATGTGAAAGTGATTCGATCTGACGGTGGTGGTGAATTTATCAGTGGAAGACTGAATCGTTTCCTCCTCAATCGTGGAATTCGCCATCAACTCACTGAACGTGACATGTCCTCTTCTAACGGAAAGGCCGAGCGCTTTCACAGGACATTGATGGACTCCGCTAGAGCTATGCTGTGGGCTTCTACATTACCTCAGAGATTCTGGGGCGATGCCGTTCTTTACGCCAGCTACATCCAGAACTACTTGCCTACCCGTGCGAATGCAGACTACGCGTCGCCTATTGAGGCTTTATCTGGCAAAGTGCCTAGTGTTTCGCACATTTTAAAGTTTGAATCAAAATGTACAAACCATATCGCCCATCCCTCGAAGAAATCGACCAAGAAACGTGCTGAAAAAGGAATTGTCATTGGCGTTGACTCTCAAAAGAAAGCGTACCGTGTTTACATCCCGCGCACCAAGCGAGTTATTTCGACGACTCACATCCAGAACATTGACCGACTGGATACGCGTGCTGTGGGGCGATATATGGACGCTACCGACGCTACCAACGCTGATGAAGCCGCAAACGAAGGTGACAGAGCCACAGAAGATGTCTCTAGCCCTCGCGAAGAGTCTGAACTAAGCGAAGCTGATGTGGGGAGCCCAGTGGAGAACCAACAACTCACCTCACGTGCCATTCAACGTATCTTCGGCCTAAATCGCGGTAATAGTAGTCCAGAACGAGACGATTTTCAACTACCTCAATCTTTCCTCGACGAATTCGCTACTCCTGTGACTGCCTTGCTAACAGTAGCGCCCCGTGAAGGAACCGCATTTGTAACTCTACTGGAATCCGATAGAACTAAGGTACCTACGACAGTCGCAGAAGCAATGAACAGCCCGTACTGCCGTGAATGGATGCAGGCGATGCAGGAGGAGCTCCACGCGATATCCAGCAGCGCCACGTGGGAAATTGTCGACATTCCTTCCGATGGAAATCTGATAACTGCAAAATGGGTGTCTAAGATAAAATTCGACGACAAAGGAGAACTGGAACGATTCAAAGCTCGGCTTGTAGCGCGCGGCTTCAACCAGAAATATGGAGTTGATTCTGAAGAGACTTTCGCACCTGTACTGAAGATCGCAAGTCTACGACTGATTGTCGCTCTTGCAGCATTGTGGCACGCTATTGTTCGCCAAGGAGACGTACCCAACGCTTACCTTCGAGCTAACCTGGATCGACCTATCTACATGCGAGCCCCTGCTGGTCTTCGAGTACCAAAAGGCAAGTGTATGCTGTTATTAAAGAGTCTTTACGGTCTTAAACAGAGCGGGAAGCTCTGGAACGATACCATCCACGCCTACTTGCTGGAACCGGCTTCGAGAGGAGCCAACTCGACCCGTGCCTGTACTTTCGACGATACAATGGCAGCCTCACCATACTCGGTCTCTATGTCGATGACGTAATAGTAGTCAGCCAGCGTGAGAGCGATAGCAACTGGACAATGAAGAAGCTGAGTGGCCAATTTCAGATCAAGGACATGGGTCCCGCCAAAAGATGCCTTGGGATCAACATTGCGCAGAGTACATCGGGCATTTCTATGGACCAGACTACAAACATCGATAGCTTACTGGCGAAATTAGAGATGGAAAATTGCCGTCCTGTGAAGACGCCCATGGAATCGACTCGAAACCTACACAGTGAAGACTGCGAGCCGCATTTTGACACGAACAACATGCGAGAGACCATTGGCTCGTTATTGTGGATTAGTACGTGCACTCGTCCTGATATCACTATGGCGGTGAACTACCCTTGCCCGTTTCGTTGCCGCACCGACTACTACTCATTGGACAGCTGTCAAACAAATCCTCCGGTACCTGAAAGGGACTCGGGAGCTGAAGCTTGAGTTCCTCCGACCCCAGGCACCCCAGCACAGAATTAGTGTAGCCATTTACAGCGATGCTGACTGGGCAGGCGACAAGGACGCTAAATCTACGTCTGGTGGTTTGCTTACCATAAATGACATGCTGATCTCCTGGTATAGCAAGAACCAATCGACAGTAGCTCTATCAACGGCAGAAGCGGAGTATATTGCCGGAGCAACTGCAGTCCAAGACTGTTTGTGGGTGAAACAATTGATTGACGAGCTCAAACTGAGAGTCAAAGGTGATAATGTCATCTTACACGTTGATAATCAGAGCGCCATCAAAAACATGGAGAATGACGTGACAACCGCCCGCATGAAACACATCAACATAAAGTTCCACTTTATTCGTGACGCTATTCGCAATGAGGGAATCAGCATACGCTACTGCCCAACTACGGAGATGAAAGCTGATATCCTGACTAAACCACTCGGTACTACACTGCATGGACGCAATGTGGCGATGCTTAAATTGATCACGTCATGACAACATACATCTATATCACGCCCGTCACATCAAGGAGGAGTGTTGCAAGTCTCATTCTGTCGCAAACTGCGATCGGTGCAGTTGCGCCATTAACGACCTGGGACCTAACTATCGATAGCGACGGCCTGCATACGAAACCAACGAAACTCCCACTACATACTACGGTAGCCTAGGATCACTATCTGTGGCAGACCTACTTAACCTTCTCATTCCAATATATACCCGGTGCGAGGCACCAGAGCAGGAAGAACCTGTGTGTTCTGGAATAACCTGCTAACTTCACTGGGGACGTGAGTTGAGTCAGCGGTGCCAGTAGTTGCGCTCTGCGTGGCAGCATGTCGCTGTAAAAGTTGACCATGCCAACGAATCGACGAACTTCACGGCGGTTGTTCGGCGGGGCAATCGCATTAATCGCCGTGACCTTGTTAGGTAATGCCGAGATTCCATCATCCGAAATTTGATACCCCAGGTACTCGATCACTGAGGCACAGATCTTTGACTTCGTACGGTGTAGTGTTAGCCCGTGATCACGAAGTCGACCAAACACTACCGCCAAGTGCTGCAGATGCTCCTCGAAGGTGGACGACGTCACCAAGATGTCGTCCAAGTACACGTGCACGTAGTCCAGGTCCCCGAGGATCTCGTCCATCGCAGCCTGGAACTCGTCCGGAGCGGTCGACACGCCCATAGGCAGTTTTAGGAACACGAACTTTCCGAGCGGTGTCGTGGTCGTGCCAACTGAGCCATCGACGTTCCTAAATTTGGCAACATCGGGCCGTAGACTTCAGAAGTTCCGCCGTCGTGCGGTCCATCGCCGAGCGAGTGCAGCCTGTGTCCAGCAGCACCTTTACTCGGTGCTTACCCATGAGGATTTGCATCTCCATACTTGGGTCGAGCGTCTTCGCCGTCGGCTTCATACAAGCCTCCGTCCTCATAGCCGCCATGATGTCAGAATTACCGCTGTCGTAGAATCGCATGGATGCGAACTCCCTGTTCTGACGCTTCTGCATGGCGCTCACCATTGCCGCCATGTCAGTCAGCTGCTCCTGCATCGCGGCCATTGTGCCGCCACTGCCCCCAGCATTGGACCGTCCTGCGTAGTGCTTTTCAGGGCGTGGTCGGTAAGCCGGTGACGCAGGGTTTCGAAAGCAGTGGTCGTCACTGTGGTTGTCCTTTTTGCAGTAATTACAGTACTTGCCGCTTGCTACCGTGTTATTATTGCCACGAGAGTTGCGCGGCTCATTGCGCTGTTGACGACCAGTGTTTCCGCGCTGGTGGTCGCGTTGTTGTTTGGGCTCGCTACGCCGAGGACGGTTGCTTCGTAGGATAGCTTCGTCGTGCTCGTTTCTCTCAATGAGCTCAAACTGAGTCTCAATCGACGCCAGGTCCCAGATGCGGGAGATGCGATTGACTTCAACCTGCCAATCTATCGGCATCCCTTGCCGGTACATCCGTACCGCATCTGCTTCGGCGACGGCTTCATTCTCGCCGTGCTCGAGAAACGGTATCATTCGTAGCAGCATTCGGAACTCGCAGCTATACTGTCTGACAGTATTACCACGCTTCTTCTTTAGCTGCGTAAGCTCATCCATGAGCCTGCCTCGCGTGCCAGCGGGGCAGTGCTTTGCAGTGAGGTGCCGTGTGGTGTAGCGGGATCAGCAAAATCTGCGAGATTGCCAGATCCAACTTACCAACTGCGCCCAGACACCGACTAACGGAGGGGGTCCCCCGATGATCCGTGTTCTGCTGAACTTTCCTCACCTTGTGTACCCGTCGGTAGGGCGGGATCTGCTCTCTCGGTAACTTCCGAAGAGTTCAAGTGGTGAAGCTTGAGTGTCTTGGCGAGACGTGGGGATGGGGTGGAGCAGCAGTGGAAAATCTTCACTCTGCGTCCGTGGATGGTTCCGTATCCTAAGCGAATATTCGAGCTTATGGATCCGGGGCCTAGATCGTGGATCTGGCCGTAGGGTTGCCTTGCGGGTGTGTTCCCTTGCCTTTGTGTTGTCCTTTAAGTCGTACTTGCCGCCTCCTGTGACGGGATCTTGAAAGTTGAGAGCCTCTAGGGTATAACCGACCAAGTAGTAAATTCGGTTAACCTGTCGGATCTGCACGAGTAAAGGAAAAGCTCACTAGGTTGTAGGATCTGGCCAATGTATTATCCAGTTATCACTACCAACACTAGATTCGCAATTCCCAACCTTCTCGGAGCTCGTACGGCCAAATGTAGTTCCGGTTCTTGAGGGCAGGAAGGCACTTGCGTGATACTGTGCAAATTGAGTTCTGTATTGATATTTAAGCCTATACCTGCCTGGGTTTCTACCTTCTATGTCTTTCATCTGCTAAATCCCTTACCAGGCTCGGCTGCATGTCCCTTCTTCCCTTGACCCATCATCCCAGCTGTGTTATCTTCAGATCCACCGGATATATGACGTAATCATCATGGTCACCCTATTATGGGTACACTCATCCGGATCCAGGTCGCTTGGATCCACCTCACTGTAATGGTACACTCGCCGTGGATCCGAGCTCTCCAATCATCCAACATCATCTCGCAACCATCTGTGATCTCCGTTGTCCCACGGAAGTTCGAGATCCACTGTATCCCTCATCCCTATACCCTGGATCCAGGTCCCTCCAGGCGGGATCCTCCCTCCTTGGATACGAACTCGGAAGTATGGGATCCGGGGTACCTCGCGGTGGATCTTGACTCTTCATTAGCCGTGGCTACTAGATCCACCGTCAGAGGGCACCGACCATCCTTCCTTCATAGGATCCACACTCGATCCACTCTTGTATAGTATATCCCATATCCATCTTAGTGAATCCAGGTAAGGGTGGATCCGAGGTAAGTCTTGGTGGATCTTGCCTTCTCGTACATCGCTCATATCAGATCCATCGTCATTCCATACGGGGTGCTGCTCGCCATGGCTAATCCACCACAGGCAACTTGCACCCGTGCCAAACAACCCAAATCCCCTATAATCACTTGAAATTGTCACTGATTCGGGATAGTGACCCCGCGTCAGGACCATTCTCTTATTTCTGAGAAAGCACTTCACCACAATCGCCTCCTGTACGTGGTCGGCGCTGCACAACAGCGTCCACGACGTGCATCACCAGCATCCACAACCGCTTTCTCCCCTTCGCGACACATGTCTCCCACCAAGCGTACCGGCAAATCGTCGGGCAAGGTCCCATCCACTACACCTCCGGTCAGTCCGTCTTCCATGTCGCCCACCGATCTGCGGGTTCTAGCCCAGGCTCTTTCCGATCAGGTGCAAACCCTGACGGCGGAGCTCCAGACGGCTCAAGATGCCCAAGACCAAGCTGCATCTCTACACACTACCCAACTTCAGACCTTGCGGGCCCAAATCCATGACCAAGCGATGGAGATCCAGGGGTGGGAGCACCGTGCGACCTCTCGGTCGCAGGACCTGCGACTCCTGTTGGCTGATCAGGCGGTCGAGATCCGCGACCTGACCGGACGGCTGGATCGCGCCTCCCGTCAACGAGACGTTATGCGAGATGACAACGACCATCTCCTTAGGGAGGTGGCACTCGCCGGATCTGAGATCCACCAACTCCAATCCCGGATCCACGACCTCGAGCGGGACCTGGAGGATTCCCAGACTGCTAGGGCAGCTGCGGATGTGAGCTTGGACCGCCTCCGTGACGAGTTGCGTTTGACCCAGGAGGAGGTGGTGACCAACGACTATGTGGGATCCGCCCATGACGGATCCGCCTTAGGGTCGGCGCGTGGAGGGTCCCCCGCGCCAAATCCACCTCCCTCGTCGCCGGATGTAGCCCTGGCTCAACTCTCTGAGGAGTTGCAAGACACCAAGGAGTCGCTCGAGAGGGCGTCTACCGGACGAGATTACGCGCTTGAAGAATTCGTGCGTATGACTCGATTGCGGGACGAGATCCAAACGAAACTGGCAGACAGCGAGCTCCAGCGGGACAAGGCGACTACCGAGTGGGCGGATGCCGAGCGTGCGCTAACGGAGCTGGAATCCAAAGCTTCGCCGCATGAGTACGTGGATCCTCTTTTAGCCCTTGCTAGTGACTCCCATATTCACTTGTTAATTGTCCATCTAGGTGACAAATTGAAGAAAGCAGATGCGACCACCGCGAAACTCCAGGATCAACTTTCCGCAGCCCAAACTCAGCAGCAACAGCTGATCCTGGAGCGCGATCGCGGCCTGTCGGAGCGCGATTTGGCACGTCGACGACTGGCGCTGGTGACAGCTGCCGTCTCGGATCCACTTCCTCCCTTGTCGGGGCCCTCTCAGGCTGCTAGCGTTTCTGCTCCTCTTCCGACGGTAAGTGGGGCGGATTCGTCGACTGCGAAACGCCCGCGTAGTACATCTCCCGCTCCTAGCACCGGATCCTCCCGTCCCCATAAGCAGGCCCGAGCTTCCCCGAAAGCCAAGCCCAAAACGACTCCGGTTTCTAAATCGGCTCCGCAAGCGGGATCCACTTCTTTGTCCAAGGCAGGATCTACACCCGCGCCCAAGACTTCCGTTTCTCCCTCGAAGTCAGGTGCCGGATCCAAGTCTGGATCCACCGCTAGATCCAAGTCTACCTCGGCGTCCAAGACTGGACCCGTTGCTACGTCCAAAACGGGATCGACGGTGTCCAAACCGGGATCGACGTCCAAGACGGGATCCACCGCTGCTGCGTCAAAATCTGGATCCGGACCCAAGACTGGGTCTACGGCGTCCAAGGCTGGATCCGTTGCCCCATCCAAAACAGGATCAGCGGTGTCCAAGTCCGGATCGACGGCCAAAACGGGATCTACGGCAGTATCAAAATCGGGATG